TCAATCCAGTCTGTAATGTGCATGCAATTGTATGAGTACTGTGCAGTATTTCTCAATGTCAAACAAAATAACAATATAGTAGTAAATCCATCAAGTCCTAACCCATTTTGCAACACAATCACTTACTTTTGCTGCATAAAATTGATTAGTTTAAGCAATACACAACCATTCATATCCCTAATGTATTGTAGCTATGAAGAAAGGTTAACAAATTTAAACCTCTTTAGTTTAGAAAAAAACGTCGTCTGAGAGGGAATATGATAACATTATACAAATATATTTGGTAGGCATGTGCATGGGGAAAATATTCGGCTCGGTTCGGCATTCCGAAATTCGGGACTTCAGCAATTCAGCACTTCGACACTTGAACACTTCGGCACTTCGGAACTTCACCACTTCGGCAACTTCGGCACTTTGGAATTAGACACTTCGGAACTTCGGCACTTCGGCAACTTTGGCAACTTCGGCACTTCGGAACTTCGGAACTCCGGCATTTCGGGACTTTTCTTGCAGCCGCTTGGTAGATAACTCCCTAATTCCCACGGTATCTACCAAAAGGCTGAAAGACCTAAATTTGTCTTTAAGCCAAATATACTAATACTAAGTAAAAATTACTTAGTATTAGTAAATTTTGCCCCTACTTGCGGTATAGCGAGTAGGGGCAAAATTTACCAATACTAAGTAATTTTTCTCTATTAAACAGTGATCAGCCTGTGGCTGCTGACTGTTAAAAAATAAAAAATAAAAAAAAGGGTCCCCCCTCCCTGAGCGGCGGGTGGGGGCCCTAAATACAAATTTAACCCCCTCCCCCCAGGTGACTAGGGGTCCCCAAACCCCTAGTCACCCCCTCCCCCAAAAAATAAACCCCTACCTACCCCCCTCACCCTAAAAATAATGAGGGGGACCTTTAACTAAGTACCTGTAAAAATAAACTTACCATTTGATGTTTTCTTTCTTCTAAAATCTTCTTTTTTTCAGCCCCAAAAAAGGCCAAATAAAAACACAATAAAATTTTTTTTAAAAAACGAGCGCCAAAAATTATAATACACTGAGCTCTGCAGGGCGGGGGAAGGCTTATAAAGCCTGGGGTGTGGGCCGGGGGAGGACATTAGTTCCCCCCCTTAATCTTGTTTAGGGCCCCCACCCACCGCTCAGGGGTGGGGGCCCGTGGGGAGGAGAATTTTATATGAATGTAAGTTACTTGATTGTTGTAAGTGTTGCAAATGCTTACAGCTGAATCCTGGCTGTATGTATGTTTGTATACTATTTATTTGTATACAATGTAACATTCTTCTTCTTTCACTGGGTAAGTATATTAGTACTTAGGCAATATTGTGCTTCGGAACTTTGGAACTTCGGCACTTTGACACCTGGGAACTTTGGCAACTTTGGAACTTTGGCACTGCAGCAATTCGGCACTTCGGCACTACTACACTTTGGAAATTCGGTCATTTCGGCACTTCGGGACTTCAGCAATTCGGCACTTCAGGTATTTGGACATTCGGAAGCACCCGAATGTCCGAATTACCCGAAATTCGGCCGAATTTTAATTCGGACCAAAACAAATTGCACATGTCTAATATTGGGGGCCAATACAAACCATTGTGTGGAAATCTATTCACAAACCAGACTTTACATAGGACACTAAGTCATGCATTTAGACTGGAAGAAAGAAGATTTTGTCTAAGGCAAAGGAAAGTTTTTTTTACTGTAAGAACAATAAGGATGTGGAATTCACTGCCTGAAGAAGTGGTTTTATCAGAGCCCATACAGATGTTCAAACAGCTACTAGATGCATACTTGCAAAAACAGAATATTCAAGGACATTGTTGTTCAATGTAGGGTAATAACTGCTTGATCTAAGAATAAATCTGACTGCCATTCTGGTGTCAAGAAGGAATTTTTTTCCTAGCTTGTTGCAAAATTGGAAGTACTTCAAACTGTTTTTTTTTTTTGCCTTCTTTTGGATCAACAGCAAAAAACAAATGTAAAGAAGGTTGAACTTGATGGATGCAAGTCTCTATGTAACTGTAATAGAAAAGCTAAACCCACCATCATCAAAGGTAGATACAGAGGTCCTGTTCCCCAATCCTCTATAAGCAGTGTCATGGTATTATGGTGATTGTGACATAGCTCACCTACTACAAGTGCTACCATCACAACCACCACAACAATGCCACCGTTATCAACATTACCTGTACTGGCAAAATCAACATTTCCAATAGCATTAATTAACTAAGTGTTAGTGTACAGGCTAGTGCTGTCCCAGCATCCTATGCCACTGATACAAATCAACCTACTACTTTAAGAGACTCATGGGTATGGATGAGGGCTAATGTTTTGTGTCAATGAGCAAAGTCTGGTGTCACTTTGTGTACCTCCAAAAAAATGACTTGCAAAGTTTATTATATAAAAAATTATTTAACTGTACTTACATTCATTTCAGTAGGCTGCAATACCATCAAATGCCTTGTAAATACTGTCACACAGGGTTTTAAACCATTTTAATTTATCTATTTTTGTCACTCCTACTGTATGTGAGAAACATTGTATTTTTGTCTTTATACTGAAATTTCAGACCATGTGTGAAATACTAAGGGGTAATTTATATAGTCTAAATCTATTAATTCCTCCATATTTATATAAAGAATGAACAAAAAAAGATGTAAATGTGCATAATTCATTTTTTTACGCATGTCTGAACAGCACACTTCCTAGAAAATTGTGTATCATACATTTATGTGCTACCTATGCATCAGGTGTTTCAAATAAATGTTATGCTAAGATTTTTTAAAACAAACAATGCTTTGAAGTGAATGGGTTAATACACTGCTTCATTCCCAGATATGTTGGGGTTCCTATACTAATGGGCAAAACAATAACAGTTTGAAACTTCTATTTTCTAGTTTAGTAGGAACTTTCATTTTGCTACTTTAGGAGAATGTTCCACTTACTGAGAGTGGGCAAAAGGCCATAAGTCATTTGTACAGTCCTGTTAATGAACAGATCAGCAGACGACACGCTCTGCTTTTATAAAATTATAACATATCCTCCATAAGATACCTTTTATTTCTACTTTGAATAAATGCTAATAATTTCTTGCCAAGTTTGCATTGTTTAATTAAAGGGATCCTATAGTGCCAGGAAAACAAACCTGTTTTCCTGGCACTATAGGCTCTTGTAGTGACCCCCTCCCTCAGTTTGATCTTTTCACTTCATGGCCATCCTTCCTTTTTTTTCCAACTCATTTGGGTGTTTAATTTTTTTTGTGAATCTTGTTCTTTTATCTTCAGTACATGCAGTTGCCTAATAAAGTCTGAAGAATTTTATATGTAGTTATTAGCATTTCATTCCGACATCAGCTACATCAAGTAGCTATGGTATTTTTGAAGACTTTTTTATGGTCATAATTCATTAGTGCATTATGTATCTGCACTGGCCTTACTGTTTTTGACACCTACATAACATAGTGTAGTATGACTAGGCTAAAGTCTGAGAAGTGTGAAGATTCAGATGACTCAACATTCAGCTTGAAATTCCCAAGTAAACATATGAGGAATATCTTAAAGGTTTGTGTTTGTTTGTTTTTTAATATAAAATGAAATTCATGTTTCTTGCTTAATTCTTTGCTGTTTTTAAAAAAAAGTATCAACACTTTTTATACTATGCATCTTTGAAGATATTAGATGAACTAATTGAAACCTTAAGATATGTTATATAAATATGTATTTTTTTTTAAATTTATATTTTATTAAAGTTTTTACATACATATCCATTGCAAAACCGTATTCGAGGTACAGGTACAATATAGTTCACGTTAATACAAGTGTTGTAGAACATGATAGCAGTTTATACTGTCATAAACACATCTGAGATTGATTTCTCTAAATGTTACAATCGGATATAGAATCAGATATGTGGAGCAATGGGTTCTATCACATAACATAACGTAACAAATAACAAATAACAAGGTCAACATATTTACTGTTCAAGCTTTCAGTTAATTTTACACAGAGTTTCGGCACATAGTATCAGATTGGACCTATCGGGTGGTTCCATTTTAAGGTGACTAGTGTGGATCTGGTAATGTATTGGGGGTCTATGGGTGTTCGGGCCTCAGGTTTCATCTCTCACAGGGGGCACAATATCGGCGACTGTAAGATTCATCAAGGCTTGCCATGGGGCCCATGTTATGTGAAATTTTTTGCTTTTAGTTGGGGAATCTAATGACATGCATTCGTAAACATAAAATTGTTGGAGTTTATCTTTGAGTTGAGTGGGAGAAGGGCACGCCTGGGATTTCCAGTTTGTTGCAATCAAATTGCGAGCCGCTAACAAGGTGAGAGCTATTAGTTGATGGTGTGTCTGGTGGATGTCTCTATTCAGCAGTAGTAGAAGACAGGTCGATACCGACATTGGGAACCCTTTGATTCCTAACTGCTCCAGCAGGGAATGTACCTCTGTCCATAGTGGACGTATCTTATCGCAGGACCACCATATATGAAGTAGAGTCCCTTGCTCCGTCATACACCTCCAGAGGGTGATGTTGGGTATATTTTACTCAATTTGTGGGGTGTCATATACCAGCAATAAAGAAGTTTTCTATGTGCTTCTATATGATTGTAGCACTTAGTCCACTTCGACAAGTGATTGAGGGCACGGAGCCATTTATCGTCTCTCAATGTTATATCACTATCTTTTTCCCAATGGGACCTACAAGTATCTGGTTTCTTGGGCTGTAATTCTAGTCCTGCTTTATAACAGAGAGATAATGCTTTTGGTTTCGTAGGGGTATTTACGCATCTCTGTAATACCAACTGTGGGTTTAAGGGTGGGGGCTTGGTCGTTCGGGTGGCAGTGGAGTGGGTATGTGCGAGTAAGAGTCTTCATACCTGTAAATAGAGAAAGGTGTCTTGTATAGTGAGACTCCAGGCCTGCTGGAGGTCTTGGAAGGTCTTTACCTCTCATCCTTCTAACATATGGCCTACATGTGTAATACCCTACATCCTCCATCTCACCAGCGAGCCAATTGGGGATATCTGTTCAAGCACCGATATTGGTGCTTTGGGATGAATCTTTTTTCCATAGTCAAGTTTGTGCATGAACTCGTCCCATACATGTAGTGTAAGTTGTGTAGTAGGGAGCATGTCCTTTTCTGGGGGGCGCAGGTGTTTGGGCGTCCACATATATTCAGTTATGGATTGATTCTTAAGATGTTTCCCTTCTAGGTCTATCCATTGTATCTGCCCTTTCTGTGTGTGTAGAGTAATGCCCGTAGTTAATATCGAAGCTTTGAGGTATAGTCGGATGTTTGGTAGACCTACTCCTCCCGGAGCTGGAGGTTTTTGTAATACGGTGAGTGGGAGTCTTGGTCTCTTGCCGCCCCATATGAAGGAGTGACAGACTGTTTGTAAGGTTTTACACCATGAGAGTGGTATTGCAACTGGTAACATGTGAAATATGCATAACAGGCTAGGGAGAGTCATCATCTTAAAAGCGTTAATTTTACCTAACCATGAAAGGTTTGCCGCTTTCCATTTCTCAGCGTCATTTTTGCACATCTGGATCAGGGGTGTATAATTGTGTTGTGTTATGCCTGTCAGGGAGGGGGTGATTTTGGTTCCCAGGTATGTAAGGGAGGATGTCCTCCAGTCAAAGGAGTAAGATTCCCATAATTGGTGCACTATTTTTTGTGGGAGTCTAACAGGTAAGGCTTGCATTTTATTCTGGTTTAGTTTGTAGTTAGAAATATTTCCAAATTCCTGCAGTAATGACAATAAGTGGGGTAGGGCCGTCTTAGGATCTGATAATGTTATAACGATATCGTCCTCAAATAGGGCGAGTCCATAGTCTTGTTCTTGGGCTTGTATTCCCTGAATATGTTTGTGTTTTCTTATTTTATGGGCTAAGGGTTCAAATGATAGGATGTACAATAGGGGGGAAAGGGGGCAGCCCTGTCAGGTCCCATTAGTGATCATGAATTGGTCAGATAGAAAGCCGCTACAGGAGACTTTTGCGGTGTAGAGGGCCATAATTTGAGTGATAAGTTGCTTGGGAATTTGAACCTTGGCTAGAACTGCCTGCATATATTGCCAATTCAGCCTATCGATGGCCTTTTCTGCATCTAATGCTAAGAACAGGCCTCCTGTATTCTTCCTCCCCATTACTGCCAGGATGTCTAGGACTTTTCTAGTGTTGTTTGAACCTTGTCTGCCTTTCACAAAACCTGTTTGGTCGTTGTGTATGAGTTTCGGTAGCAGTGGGGCCAATCTATTGCTGAGGAGTTTTGCGTAGTTCTTTGGGTAGAGATCCTTGTTGGGCACTGTGCTGAAAAAGGGCTAGCAGGTGTGGAGAGAGTGTATGGGAGAACGTGCGATAGTACTCGTTAGAGAGACCATCTGGGCCTGGTGATTTATGAGGTGGCAGTGAAGATATGGTCTTTGAAATGTCTTCTATAGTAAAGGGTGCAGTAAGGTATGCTATATCTTCAGGGGGTAGGGTAGGCAGGCAAAGGTCAGATAAGAAGGGCTCTATGGCGTCAGCTGTAGGGACGTCAGTGGACAAGTCATCTTTTAGGTTATATAAAGATTTGTAATAGGTAGCAAATTCATTAGCTATGCCATCTGTGTCTAATGTGCGAAATACTTGTGAGTCTTCCAAGTATGCTATTTTGGAGGTGGATAGACTTTTTTTTAGTTGTGAGGCCAATTTGGCTCCCGCGCTATTGCCAGAGGTAAAGAATTTGTGTTTTAATTTTCTCAGAATAAAAGTAGTTTTCGAGAATTCTAGATCTCTGAGTTGTTGTAGCTGTAGCGTTTTAGAATGACTAGATTGAGTTGGGTTGTGTTTATTTATATGCGTTATGGCTGTTAGTTCAGTGAGTAAGCCAGTGTATGTTTTTAGACGTTGTTTTTTTTTGCATAGCTGGCATGTTTAATAAAGCAGCCTCTGACAACCGCTTTATGTGCTAGCCAGATAGTGTCTGCTGAGGATTCAGAGGTATAATTGTCTAGGAAGTAATCTTTTAAGTCTTGTTCTATTTGTGTCACGATAGTCGGGTCTGTGAGAAGGTGCTCGTTTAGACGCTAACTGCCTTGACCTTTGGTGTTGAATTGTTCTCTTAATTGCATGATAATTGGGGCATGGTCTGACCATTTAATTAAGCCAATTTGTGTGTCTGGTACTTGGGGGAAAGAAGTGGAGGGGATTAGAAATCTGTCAATCAGAGAATAGCATCTGTGTGCTGCTGTGTAACAGGAGTAATCTTTTTCTAGTGGGTAAGATAGTCTCCATGGGTCAATAAAGTTCTGGGTCATCAAGGTTTGGCGGATATAGGAGGCTTGAGCTTCTCTGCGCTTTCGCGTGTGGTCTAGTATCTCTCTATATTGTGAAGAGTCCAATTCGGCATCTAGCAGAAAATTGGTATCACCTCACCAAAGGTGTGTGCGCTAGCCAGTGCTAAGATAGTGTCTAGGAACGTCAGTTGGTTATCGTTAGGGCTATACATGTTGATTAAAGTAAATGGGTTATTGTTGACATAGCATTGTAAGATTAAATATCTCCCTTTTTTGTCACAAATTTTCCTGACCAAAGAGAATGTGACATGTGAATGTGACATCTTTGCTGATTAAAATTGATACACCCCTTTTATTTGTGGTATAGCATGAATGGAAATTTACCGGGAATTGTTTAGAAGTAAAGGTGGGTCTGTGACCCCATTTGAAGTGTGTCTCCTGGTAGAAGGCTACGTGTGCATCGTGGGATTTGGCCTCTTCTAACGCTAGTTGCCTTTTATTGGGCGAGTTGAGTCCCTTTGCATTTAGGGAAAAGATATTTAATACCATGGGGCCTTAGAAAGGTGACTGCAAAAGGGTGACTGTTGTGTGGTTGTAAAATGGTCTCGTGTCTCGAGGGGCCCCGTCAAGTACATATACCACAAAAAGGAACCATTTGTCACATGTGTTGACCAGAAACAGAAAAAGAATACAACAAATCGATAAAATAACTATATACAGAAGACCGTTTGTCCTGAGATATAACGGTGTAAATATGTGTGGCTTATTCCCAAAGCCACCCCGGGGGTGTGCGGCTAGAAAGTATTCAGGCCTGTGATATTTTATGGTATCTGGGCTAATAGGGACAGTAGTCTTCGACCGAGGTGTCAGTTAGATATTTTATGAACAACCCCTTTGTGGATTGGTATCTGTTGCTTGTGTAGCCGATTGGCCCTGTTCCCTTTTTAATTCACAATCAGAGTAAATGGCAATAAAAGAGCGTTATATCTGTGAATGTATCTAGTTGAAGTAGATCACAATAAAAAGAAAAGCATTATACCAATGAATGTAGGATTGAGAGGCGAAAAAAGAGAGAGAAAAAAAAGAAAAAATCATATTACTGTGAAGCCGTTGGCGGCAAAAAGAGGCAGCTATCCATCTTTCAGTGTTCAGGTTGTTTCAGAGCGTCCGATGTGGGTTATTTTGGACCAGTCTCTATTGAGTTTGACCGGATAGTGTTGAGTAGGTGGAGGTTTTTCTGGGGTTCTAGGCGGGATATTCCATTCTAGCAGCATCTTTTTTCCATCGTCCGGGGAAAGAATGGTCCTATCTGTGCCGTTCCTCTTCACTAATAGTTTAGTTGGGAAGCCCCATTTGTAAGGTATATTTGCCAGTCTCAATGCTGCTGTGATGGGGGTAAAGGTTTTTCGTTTGGACATGGTGGCGGAGGATAGGTCTATAAATAGTTTGATGTGCTCGAATGGGCCAGTGGGTAGTGCCTGATTTCTTAAGGCTTGCAATATTTTATCTTTGATGGTGAAGTAGTGGAGTTTAGTGATAATGTCCCTTGGTACGGTGGGGCCTAAATGTTTAGGCCTAAGTAGGCGGTGTGTGCGTTCTAATATTACATCTGAGTCTGTGAAGGTCGGTATGTAGGCCCAGAAAAGGTCTTGGACATATGTGGTTAACTCATGTGGCATCACGGATTCCAGGATACCCATATCTGCACGTTGTTTCGCCTGTCCCGATCCTCATGATCTGCAACTTTTTCTTCTAGAGCTTTAAGTTTGGTCTCCAGGGATGTATAAGCTTCTGCTAAATTATTGTGTGCGACCACAATCTCTTCCGTCCTTTCCTCGAGGTGCGCCGTCTGGTCCACCATGGATTGGATATCCGCTCTGATATCTTCTGCTATTTGTAGCAAGTCTGTGTGAAAACTATGTTTCAAATCTACCAGCATAGCTTGTATGGTAGCATTTGTGACCGTGTGGGTAGGGTCAGATGTGCTGGGTGCACTTTCGCTGAGGTCTGAGCATGAGGCTGGTGACCTGGTGCCGTCGGCGCCATCTTGGATTTCAGGTCCGGTTTTCTGTGTTTGTGTTAGGTGCATTTGTATCGAGCCCTGCTTCATTTTTTTGCTCCATATTGCTGCCATAGGTGTGCAGGGTTGATACCTGCTTGTGGTGTTATTTTGCCTGGGTTGGATTCTGTAAAACACGCTGTAAACACCAACGGTCAGAGGAGCTCAGGAGTTACACATCCGTGCTCATTCTCCGCTAGGCCACGCCCCTATAAACATGTATTTTTTTTATTATTATTTTTTTTATTAAAGTAATTTTTATTCACATACATGTGGAAAAATACATTGTACAGTTTGGATATTCCTATGGTAGGATGTCATTGGTACAGTTAAGAACATTTAATGCATTGATGGCTACAGCATTTAATCATTGTGTATCACATTGTGTCTACCCTACCATATGTATATAAGGCACTCATGGCCTTCTGTTATAGTTCTCACATGCTGTGAAGTTTTCTCATAACAACAACTAACAAACTCAACAATAGGGACGGGGGGGACGGGACGGGTGGGAAAGTGAGCCATGCCATGGGGGGTCTATTATTTCTTCTTTGTTGGACGCTTTCCACTAGTTTATTGCCAGAGTAAATGGGGCCTGCTTTTCTGTACGTTTGTGCGATATACTTGATACATTGTACGTTGTACATTGTTTTTGTTTTTTTTCTCACAATTCTATTTATTTGGTTCATGGTATGAGCACGGCTGTCGAGTCTTCGACAGTTTAGAAATTTTGTGTGTTAATTCTTAGGGTTTCTATGGCTGTGTTCCAGTTTTCCCAGGCAATTTTCCATATCTTGTTTTTTTCGTTGGCCGCCTTTCTGGCTGCGCATTCGTATGTCTTACTTTGTTCTATTTGTCGAGTGCATTCTTGAATTGTTGGGGCCGTTGTGGATCTCCATGCCCTACTGATTAGCGTTAGTGCTGCTATAGTGATCTGGTAGGTGAGATATACCGTGGCTAGTGTAGTTGCGGGGGTATTTATGAAGGAGGCATATTTCTGGAGCTTTGGGGAGTTTCATATCCGTTACTGTTGATACTATCTTAGCTACTTCTTTCCAATAGGTGGATAATCGTGGGCAGGTCCACCAAATGTGGAGCATGTCGCCTTTAGCTTCCAGACATCTCCAGCAGCGATCTGATACTGCGGGGTACATTTTATGTAATTTTGTTGGGACTAAGTACCATCTGTACAAAATCTTTTTGGTCAGTTCTATGTGTGAAGAGCATAACGTGTATTTTTTT